GTGGACCTTCACTCATCACACACTAGGTGGACCTTCACTCATCACACATTGTTGGTGGACCTTCACTCATCACACACCCTAGGCCGACCTTCACTCATCACACACTAGGTGGACCTTCACTCATCACACACCCTAGGCCGACCTTCACTCATCACAAATTAGGTGGACCTTCACTCATCACACACTAGGTGGACCTTCACTCATCACACATTGTTGGTGGACCTTCACTCATCACACACTAGGTGGACCTTCACTCATCACACAACCTAGGTGGACCTTCACTCATCACACACTAGGTGGACCTTCACTCATCACACACTAGGTGGACCTTCACTCATCACACACACTATGTGGACCTTAACTCATCACACATTGTTGGTGGACCTTCACTCATCACACACTAGGTGGACCTTCACTCATCACACACTAGGTGGACCTTCACTCATCACACATTGTTGGTGGACCTTCACTCATCACACACTAGGTGGACCTTCACTCATCACACACTAGGTGGACCTTCACTCATCACACACTAGGTGGACCTTCACTCATCATACACTAGGTAGACCTTCACTCATCACACACTAGGTGGACCTTCACTCATCACACAACCTAGGTGGACCTTCACTCATCACACACTAGGTGGACCTTCACTCATCACACACTAGGTGGACCTTCACTCATCACACATTGTTGGTGGACCTTCACTCATCACACCCTAGGTAGACCGTCACTCATCACACACTAGGTGGACCTTCACTCATCACACACTAGGTGGACCTTCACTCATCACACACTAGGTGGACCTTCACTCATCACACACTAGGTGGACCTTCACTCATCACACACTAGGTGGACCTTCACTCATCACACACTAGGTGGACCTTCACTCATCACACACTAGGTGGACCTTAACTCATCACACATTGTTGGTGGACCTTCACTCATCACACACTAGGTGGACCTTCACTCATCACACACTAGGTGGACCTTCACTCATCACACATTGTTGGTGGACCTTCACTCATCACACACTAGGTGGACCTTCACTCATCACACACTAGGTGGACCTTCACTCATCACACACTAGGTGGACCTTCACTCATCACACATTGTTGGTGGACCTTCACTCATCACACACTAGGTGGACCTTCACTCATTACACACTAGGTGTACCTTCACTCATCACACACTAGGTGGACCTTCACTCATCACACAACCTAGGTGGACCTTCACTCATCACACATCCTAGGTGGACCTTCACTCATCACACAACCTAGGTGGACCTTCACTCATCACACACTAGGTGGACCTTCACTCATCACACACTAGGTGGACCTTCACTCATCACACACTAGGTGGACCTTCACTCATGACACATTGTTGGTGGACCTTCACTCATCACACATTGTTGGTGGACCTTCACTCATCACACATTGTTGTTGGACCTTCACTCATCACACACTAGGTGGACCTTCACTCATCACACACTAGGTGGACCTTCACTCATCACACACTAGGTGGACCTTCACTCATCACACATAGTTGGTGGACCTTCACTCATCACACACAAGGTGGACCTTCACTCATCACACACTAGGTGGACCTTCACTCATCGCACACTAGGTAGACCTTCACTCATCACACACTAGGTGGACCTTCACTCATCACACACTAGGTGGACCTTCACTCATCACACACCGTAGGTGGACCTTCACTCATCACACATTGTTGGTGGACCTTCACTCATCACACATTGTTGTTGGACCTTCACTCATCACACACTATGTAGACCTTCACTTATCACACACCGTAGGTGGACCTTCACTCATTATACTCTCCTGTGACTTTTTCCTGTGACTTTTCCTGTGACATTTTCCTGTGACTTTTTCCTGTGACTTTTTCATGTGACTTTTTCCTGCGACTTTTGTTCTGTTTACTGTGTTTGTTACCAGCTGAATGACAGTTGATTCAAATTTTGGTTGTCATGAATTGTCATGATTTAATGTTGTCATGTTTAATGTTGTCATGGTTTAATGTTGTCATGATTTAATGTTGTCATGTTAAATGTTGTCTTGCTGTCATGGTTTAATGTTGTCTTGCTGTCTTGCTGTCATGGTTTAATGTTGTCATGCTGTCATGATATATTGTTGTCATGTTAAATGTTGTCTTGCTGTCATGGTTTAATGTTGTCTTGCTGTCATGGTTTAATGTTGTCTTTCTGTCATGGTTTAATATTGTCATGTTGTCATGAATTGTCATGGTTTAATGTTGTCTTGCTGTCATTGTTTAATGTTGTCATGGTTTAATGTTGTCATGCTGTCATGATTTAATGCTGTCATGTTAAATGTTGTCTTGCTGTCATGGTTTAATGTTGTCTCGCTGTCATGGTTTAATGTTGTCTTTCTGTCATGGTTTAATAGTGTCATGTTGTCATGAATTGTCATGGTTTAATGTTGTCTTGCTGTCATTGTTTAATTTTGTCATGATTTAATGTTGTCATGCTGTCATTGTTTAATGTTGTCATAGTTTAAAGTTGTCATGTTCTGTGTTTGGGTTCTGTGCGCCATGCCGGAGTGAGTCTAGAAAACACGCGACCCCCCCCCCCCCCCCGGGCGTCCTTGGGGTGGGTTTGATGAATCCAATTTTCTGACGAGATAAATTCGATGATCCTCGGCGCGGGGGACGGGCCGGGGCAAACAGCCGCAGGGTGGGGTCTGGGAACGGGAGGGCTGGCCGTCACGTGGGAGAAGTGGACGGACGGATGCGGCAGACGGCGGCCATCTTGGAATGTTTGCTTCACGCTTGGGTGGAGATGCTTCACGCTTCACGTGGTCAAGCAATGATTGAATGATTGAATGATTGTGTGTCGTGTCTCATTGGGTCAGGTTAAAGCAATGATTGAATGATTGTGGTGTGTGTGTGTGTGTGTGTTTTAGTTGGTGTGCGTGTGTTTCAGATGGTGTGTGTGTTTCAGTTGGTGTTACAAAGACAAAAATTGCTTGCGCTGGAATTGTTTTAACAGCGACGCCATTTTATCTTGCACGTGCCGACTATTAGCACAAAGCGCTATTTCTTGCAGGATCGCACCGGAAATGATGTCAGAAGAGCTGGGACTGACGGGGAGGGGTCTTAACATGGGGGTCTTAATGTGGCACATGAGACATTCACCAAGTGTTAAGGTTTGCGTTAGGGTTGGCATCAATGTTTTAGTTAGTGTTTGTGTTAGTGTTTGTGTTAGGGTTTGTGTTAGGGTTTGTGTTAGTGTTTGTGTTAGGGTTTGTGTTAGGGTTTGTGTTAGGGTTTGTGTTAGGGTTTGTTTTAGGGTTTGTGTTAGGGTTTGTGTTAGGGTTTTTGTTAGGGTTTGTGTTAGGGTTGGTATCAAGGTTTTAGTTAGTGTTTGTGTTAGGGTTTGTGTTAAAGTTTGTGTTAGGGTTTGTGTTAGGGTTTGTGTTAGGGTTTGTGTTAGGGTTTGTGTTAGGTTTTGTGTTAGGGTTTGTGTTAGGGTTTGTGTTAGGGTTTGTGTTAGGGTTTGTGTTAGGGTTTGTGTTAAAGTTTGTGTTAGGGTTTGTGTTAGGGTTTGTGTTAGGGTTTGTGTTAGGGTTTGTGTTAGGGTTTGTGTTAGGGTTTGTGTTAGGGTTTGTGTTAGGGTTTGTGTTAGGGTTTGTGTTAGGGTTTGTGTTAGGGTTTGTGTTAGGGTTTGTGTTAGGGTTTGTGTGTTAGGAATCGTGTTAGGGTTCGTGTTAGGGTTTGTGTTAGGGTTTGTGTTAGGGTTCGTGTTAGGGTTCGTGTTTGTGTTTGCTTATTCAACATTGTTGCGGGCCAATACAATCATCAATACAATCATCAAATAAATCATCAACTCAATCACCAATACAATCATCAATACAATCATCAATAAAATCATCAATACAATCATCAATACAATCATCAATACAATCATCAATACAATCATCAATACAATCACCAATACAATCATCAATACAATCATCAATACAATCATCAATACAATCATCAATACAATCATCAATACAATCATCAATACAATCATCAATACAATCATCAATACAATCATCAATACAATCATCAATACAATCACCAATACAATCATCAATACAATCATCAATACAATCATCAATACAATCACCAATACAATCATCAATACAATCATCAATATAGAATCATTCAATTAGTCACTGTATAACACTAATTAAAACTAAAGAGGAGTGACTTACATGAATTGATGCTTACATTAATTAATTGGATTCATGTAAGGATCAGCTATCCACGGCGGCAAGTTTGATATCTTGTGCGACATTAGAGGTCTTAAAAATCTGGCCGATTATTTGCTTGAGGGTGGGGTGGAGGGGAGCGGCTGGGACGGGTCTATGATTTAGGGTCAAGCGATGGCATCATGTTACACATCTGGGTTGCCCGCCCCCCACCCCAGCTGTCAGGCTCTACAGGGAGGGGGGGGGGGGGTAACATGGCGTGGCGCTGGACGTTTGGACGAGATGAAAAGTTTTTTGGCTGGAACTTGTGGGCTACAGACTTTGGTGCCAGAGTGGAATATCTGCTGCTATCTGCGGCTATCTGGGGCTAACTGCTGCTATCTGCGGCTATCTGCTGCTATTTGCGGCTATCTGCGGCTATCTGCGGCTCTCTGCGGCTATCTGTGGCTATCTGGTTATATCTGGGGCTATCTGCGGCTATCTGCGGCGATCTGCGGCAATCTGCGGCTATCTGCTGCTATCTGCGGCTATCTGCGGCTATCTGTGGCTATCTGGTGATATCTGGGGCTATCTGCGGCTATCTGCGGCTATCTGCGGCTATCATCGGGGTCAGGTGAGACAGGATCAGATGAGACAGGGATCAGATGAGACAGGGATCAGATGAGACAGGGATCAGATGAGACAGTCAGGGATCAGATGAGACAGTCAGGGATCAGGTGAGACAGACAGGGATCAGGTAAGACAGGGATCAAGTGAGACAGGGATCAGATGAGACAGGGATCAGATGAGACAGTCAGGGATCAGATGAGACAGGGATCAGATGAGACAGACAGGGATCAGGTGAGACAGGGATCAGATGAGACAGTCAGGGATCAGGTGAGACAGGGATCAGATGAGACAGGGATCAGATGAGACAGACAGGGATCAGATGAGACAGTCAGGGATCAGGTGAGACAGGGATCAGATGAGACAGGGATCAGATGAGACAGACAGGGATCAGATGAGACAGGGATCAGATGAGACAGGGATCAGATGAGACAGTCTTGCCGAGAAGGTCCCACCCACTAAGAGCCAGTCAGGGGTCACAGGCCAACAGCCGAGGGGCGCGTATGTCATGTCAGGGGTCAGGGGTCCCGGGGAGGCATCGTCGCCCGGGACACGGGCATTAAACGCCATCAATCGTCCCCAGCCCCGTCTGTAGCGCGCTGCCCGCCCGACGGTCTTGATCCCCAATTCATCTGCAGCCCCGCCTTGATGCCGAGGTGCTGCCCTCCGTCATAAATCCCAAACTACTCGCGTCCACCCTTCAAAAACATGGCCAGTGAAGAAATTTTTTTTTTGTACACTCTGGACAAGACAAGACACCCAGAGCTCGAATACCAGGGATGGGAATTTGTTACGGGAATAATGGCTTATAATCTTGAAAGATTTAACACTTGCGCGTTTAGATGATGAAATTTGGAGGTAAAAAAATGTGATTACCCCCCTTATATCAATAGTGGTGTTGATTACAGCGTTACTCCAGAGTGTTTTAGCTGCCGGCAAGGGCCATAACTCAGCACACACTCACAGATAAATCTTTGAATGGAACAACGTGAACAATTTATTGCTGTTAGTTTTAAACTTTCAAATCAACTGACGTCACAACATCTATGAGGAAAAAAACTCTTTTCTTATTTATGTGGTTAAATATGTGCGTACATATATGTAAATATGTGCGTACATTTGTGTAAATATGTGTGTACATTTGTGTGAATATATGCGTACATTTGTGTAAATATGTGCGTAAAAGTAAAGTTTCCCTTTCAAACCTGACTATCTATATGAAGAGATAGTGTGGTCAGCACTATGCCCAGCCGCCTTTACTTTCCCTAACATGAGTTTAGTACCCATCAGAGTTGGGTGGACTCAGGACCGTCTACTGACTTGAACCCGGATTCGAACTCGCTAAACCACCCCGTCCCATAAATATGTGCGTACATTTGTGTAAATATGTGCGTATATTTGTGTAAATATGTGCTTATATTTGTGTAAATATGTGCGTAAAATTTGTGTAAAATACGTGCGTAAAATTTGTGTAAATATGTGCGTAAAATTTGTGTAAATATGTGTGTAGCCTGGTCCGCTTAGGTTGTGCTATACAGTGATGTGACAGGTTGTGCTATACAGTGATGTGTCAGGTTGTGCTATACAGTGATGTCAGGTTGTGCTATACAGTGATGTCAGGTTGTGCTATACAGTGATGTCAGGTTGTGCTATACAGTGATGTGACAGATTGTGCTATACAGTGATGTGACAGGTTGTGCTATACAGTGATGTGACAGGTTGTGCTATACAGTGATGTCAGGTTGTGCTATACAGTGATGTGACAGGTTGTGCTATACAGTGATGTGACAGGTTGTGCTATACAGTGATGTGACAGGTTGTGCTATACAGTGATGTCAGGTTGTGCTATACAGTGATGTGACAGGTTGTGCTATACAGTGATGTGACAGGTTGTGCTATACAGTGATGTGACAGGTTGTGCTATACAGTGATGTCAGGTTGTGCTACATAGAAAATAGAAAACTTATAAAAATAACTTGTCTAAATGCCTCAGTTTTACACGGCAGTTTTAGCGGCTTTAAAAATGGCTGAAATCAGAAATGAAAAGTAAACACCTTATTTATTTTTAGATCATCATGGATGACTGAGAAGTGATGACAGCATTTTGTGCGCGTGTGTGGGTGTGCGTGTGTGTGGGATGTGGGGGTGATAGAGAGGGGTGGGACTCTGACAGGAAAAGGTCATTTCCTAAATGAAGTCTAACTGATGCAAGTCAAATCTTGAAGGGGTGTGGTGAGAGTGTGGTGGGGGTGTGGTGGGGATTGTAGGAAAAAAAGTCACAGGAAAAAAAAACACAGGAAAAAAAAACACAGAAAAAAAGTCACAGGAAAAAAAGTCACAGGAAAAAAAGTCACAGGAAAAAAAGTCACAAATATATATTTGCATGGGATTTGTTAATACTTTTATGTATTAAATATTCAGAGACTGCAAATTAACTTAGGATTAATTAAATGTAATGTAATGTGTGTAGGTTGTATACGTATAGTAATTTTTATAATTCATCAAAAAATATTTAGTATGAATTATGTAGATTGTAATTATGTTAAACATAATATTTATAGCATTTAATAGAATGTCCACGGTTTTCATCGTGTTTTTTTAAAATTAAATTACCGTGAAATGGTAAGGTCATCTGAATTACTGCCCTCAACTCATCGCAACAATAGTTATGCTTAGTTCAACCACCTTTACTGCCCACATTTATCACGCTCATTACATAACAAAACTTAGGATCAAAACAGAGAGCCGACAAGGTTCATAGGCTGTCATTGACACAAATCGTCAACAACACAAAATATGTTCGGACAAAACCGACTGAGGAGAGACCGACCATAGAATAGCCTGCGGCAAAACCTATGCAAAACACAATGATGTGCCTAAATTTCTTTTATAGTTGACTTTTCTACCGGGTGTGTAACTAAATACGTAACAAAAGTTAAGATTGTTGTGTAAATTATCTTAGAGTATTTTTACTTACAATTTGTATAAACCATAATGCTTTTAACGTCTATAAATAATTTAAGCTATCAAAAAATACAACCCACAACAATAAACATACACAATTTTACAATTCTTAACAAATAAATCAAAGTATTTCTAAAAAGATTTGTGTGACTTTTTTTCTGTGACTTTATTTCTGTGACTTTTTTTCCGATAAAATTTTTCCATTGTGACTTTTTTTCCGTGACTTTTTTTCCTAGCAAAAACTGTGACTTTTTTTCTGTGTTTTTTTTTCCTGTGACTTTTTTTCCGTTTACCGTGGTGGGTGGGGGGGGGGGGGGTCGACCCTTTCATTCAGCTGAGAGGAGGATGGTAGTCGTCAAAGGAGGATGGTAGTCGTCAGAGAAAATTGGAGAGGCTGGTTGTACGTGGTCGCTACTAGAAACAGCCATAGAACAGCCAACCATCCTCTGTACACATCCCCAACCATCCTCTGTACACATCCCCAACCATCCTCTGTACACATCCCCAACCATCCTCTGTACACATTCCCAACTATCCTCTGTACACATCCCCAACCATCCTCTGTACACATCCCCAACCATCCTCTGTACACATCCCCAACCATCCTCTGTACACATTCCCAACTATCCTCTGTACACATCCCCAACCATCCTCTGTACACATCCCTAACCATCCCCAACCAACCCGTTTCTAAAGCAGACCAACCCTGAGCCTACCATCTGCATACACAATTTTAAGTTTTATATATGTATATGTATATATATATATATATATATATATATATATATATATATATATATATATATATATATATATATATATATATATATATATATATATATATATATATATATATATATATATATATATATATATATATATATATATATATATATATATATATATATAAAATTTATTATTATGTGTATGAATATTTTTATTATGTATGTGTGTTTGTACTTGTATCTGTCTATCTGTAACAGAGAAATATATTTTTTGACGTTTTCTTTTTAAATATTTAACTCTGAACTCTACTATTTTGGTTTAAATTTCGATCTCGTTTCAAAAGTTTAATTCAATGTTGACACACTTTCCTTAAGACAATTTACAAGGGAGATAATTGGCCCCGAAACTGTAGCGGCGTCCCCTAGAGTGACGCCCCTTGTTTCTCTAGGCTTCTGGTTACATGTGACAGAGTCAAGTCTGTCGTCTGGTGCGTGTGTGGTCAAACAACTTGGCAACCCCACCCCCACCCACCCTCACCACCACCCCACCCCCACCCCCACCCTCACCCCCACCCTGGGACGTGTGTGATCAAACTACATGGCAAACCCAACCCCACCCCCACCCCCACCCCACCCCACCCTCACCCTTACCAGCACCCCCACCACCACCCCACCCTGGTGACGTCAGGGACTTGTGTGGTAAAACAGCATCCCACCTCATCACCATCTAACATTTACATCGTTATTATCATCGACAAAATCATCAACCATTAGTTCTCTCTTTCTAGGTTCAGTAGGTCATAAACATACGACGTAACAGTAACAGCTCATGGACACAATTTACACACACAATTTACACACACAATTTACACACACAATTTACACACAATTCATACACAATTTACACACATACAATTTACACACACAATTTACACACACAATTTATACACAATTTACACACAATTTATACACATACAATTTACACAATTTTCACACACAATTTACACACACAATTTACACACACAATTTACACACACAATTTACACACACAATTTACACACACAATTTACACACACAATTTACACACACAATTTACACACAATTTATACACAATTTACACACACAATTTACACACAATTTATACACAATTTACACACACAATTTACACACACTATTTACACACCATTTATACACAATTTACACACACAATTTACACACAATTTACACTCACAAATTTTACGGTTTGTTGATCAAGTGATGTTATGAACACATCCTGATGTTATAAACACATCCTGATGTTATAAATACATCCTGATGTTATAAACACATCCTGATGTTATAAATACATCCTGATGTTATAAACACATCCTGATGTTATAAACACATCCTGATGATATGAACACATCATGATGTTATAAACACATCATGATGTTATAAACACATCCTGATGTTATAAACACATCCTGATGTTATAAACACATCCTGATGTTATAAACACATCCTGATGTTATAAACACATCCTGATGTTATAAACACATCCTGATATTATAAACACATCCAGATGTTATAAACACATCCTGATGTTATAAACACATCCAGATGTTATGAACACATTCTGATGTTATAAACACATCCTGATGTCCAGACCAGGACCACATCCCCAGAAGACAGGCGATTAAAAATATTTGTCAGGGTTACGGTTTGTGTTAGAGTTGGGGTTGGGTTGGGGTTATGGTTTGGGGTTGGGGTTAGGGTTACGGTTTGTGTTAGGGTTGGGGTTGGGGTTATGGTTTGTGTTTGTGTTAGGTTTGGGGTTGGGGTTAAGGTTTGTGTAGATGAGACAGTACCATCTTGGTTTTATCTATAGGCTGAAGATCGAACATTATCGCCAGTTGCTTCCCATTCACAACCCAAGGGAAACGACTCTAAAACTTAGTGTTTACTTCAAGCTAAATTGAAGCAGAACTGATGACGTAGTACGACAATGATGGCTGACAACTTCATCAAACTACTAGCCAGACTTCTCTGATGGCTACAGCGCTAAATCAGTGATGAATGCAAGATCCAAACATTGCAACCAACAATGTTTTCCTTAAGGACAATTTCAGCTCCATTCAACTACCTGCAACTACCTGCAACTACCTGCAACTACCTGCAACTTCCCGCAACTGCTCTACTTGATCTACGAGACATGCTTGAGATTTGAAACCAAACTTTGACAGTTTTTTTTTCACCAAACTTTGACATTTTTTTTCCACCAAACTTTGACATTTTTTTCCACCAAACTTTGACAGTTTTTTTCACCAAACTTTGACAGTTTTTTTTCCACCAAACTTTGACAGTTTTTTTTTTCACCAAAGTTTGACAGTTTTTTTTTCACCAAACTTTGAATTTTTTTTTCCATCAAACTTTGACAGATTTGTTTTGAAACCATTGCTGGCCTGTGATGTAACAGTCAGAGTTGATTTTAATTTGTGTGTGTGTGTGTGTGTGTGTGTGTGTGTGTGTGTGTGTGTGTGTGTGTGTGTGTGTGTGTGTAAAGCCCGAATCACGTGACCTCCTGAGTGTGGACACGGTACAGACGAGCTAGTAAATAATTTCTGGGTTGTCTCCCGCTAAACTTGTCGCCATCTTGAGACTGTGAATTGTTGGCGTCGCTTCATCTGTAGGCCGTGAATTGACGGCGTCGGTTCATCTGTAGGCCGTGAATTGACGGCGTCGCTTCATCTGTAGGCCGTGAATTGACGGCGTCGGTTCATCTGTAGGCCGTGAATTGACGGCGTCGGTTCATCTGTAGGCCGTGAATTGACGGCGTCACTTCATATGTAGGCCGTGAATTGACGGCGTCGCTTCATCTGTAGGCCGTGAATTGACGGCGTCACTTCATCTGTAGGCCGTGAATTGACGGCGTCACTTCATCTGTAGGTCGTACAAGACATCATCACCCCCTCCTGTATCCAGACAACACCAACTGATAACATTGACACTCCAACATCAGAGATCAACCCAGACACACCACCACCAGCTGATCACATTGACACTCCAACATCAGAGATCAACCCAGACACACCACCACCAGCTGATCACATTGACACTCCAACGTCAGAGATCAACCCAGACACACCACCACCAGCTGATCACATTGACACTCCAACATCAGAGATCAACCCAGACACACCACCACCAGCTGATCACATTGACACTCCAACGTCAGAGATCAACCCAGACACACCACCACCAGCTGATCACATTGACACTCCAACATCAGAGATCAACCCAGACACACCACCACCAGCTGATCACATTGACACTCCAACGTCAGAGATCAACCCAGACACACCAACACCAGCTGATCACATTGACACTCCAACGTCAGAGATCAACCCAGACACACTACCACCAGCTGATCACATTGACAATCCAACATCAGAGATCAACCCAGACACACCACCACCAGCTGATCACATTGACACTCCAACATCAGAGATCAACCCAGACACACCACCACCAGCTGATCACATTGACACTCCAACATCAGAGATCAACCCAGACACACCACCACCAACTGATTACATTGACACTCCAACATCAGAGATCAACCCAGACACACCACCACCAACTGATCACATTGGCACTCCAACATCAGAGATCAACCCAGACACACCACCACCAACTGATCACATTGACACTCCAACATCAGAGATCAACCCAGACACACCACCACCAACTGATCACATTGACACTCCAACATCAGAGATCAACCTAGACACACCACCACCAGCTGATCACATTGACACTCCAACATCAGAGATCAACCCAGACACACCACCACCAGCTGATCACATTGACACTCCAACATCAGAGATGAACCCAGACACACCACCACCAGCTGATCACATTGACACTCCAACATCAGAGATCAACCCAGACACACCACCACCAGCTGATCACATTGACACTCCAACATCAGAGATCAACCCAGACACACCACCACCAGCTGATCACATTGACACTCCAACATCATAGATCAACCCAGACACACCACCACCAAACCAAGTGTTCAATATAAAATTCTCATGTGTTTCGTCAATACACATTTCAATCAAGTATTCGTTTTAGAAGGCTTTGCTTTCATTAACCATTTGTAAACTAATTAACTTAAATAACTAATTGGTTGTTTTCTTTTAATTCTTTAATTGAACGGAAAGAAATCTTGCTGTTTGTGGATACGATGGTACATTAAATTTTGTAAATAATTTGCCCGCCCCCCCCCCCCCCCCCCCCATCTCTGGTATGATCTGAATAACTGTTCGATGTGTATTTTATTTATCAACGGTCGATGCCACTGACAAGTTTGTTTAGTGTTGCGCTGTATCAGCAAGTGTTTGGTGCACCAGTCAATGTATCACAGCAAGTGTTTGGTGCACCAGTCAATGTATCACAGCAAGTGTTTGGTGCACCAGTCAATGTATCAGCAAGTGTTTGGTGCACCAGTCAATGTATCAGCAAGTGTTTGGTGCACCAGTCAATGTATCAGCAAGTGTTTGGTGCACCAGTCAATGTATCAGCAAGTGTTTGGTGCACCAGTCAATGTATCAGCAAGTGTTTGGTGCACCAGTCAATGTATCAGCAAGTGTTTGGTGCACCAGTCAATGTATCAGCAAGTGTTTGGTGCACCAGTCAATGTATCAGCAAGTGTTTGGTGCACCAGCTAGTCAATGTATCAACAAGTGTTTGGTGCACCAGTCAATGTATCAGCAAGTGTTTGGTGCACCAGTCAATGTCCACAGCAACACTGACAAATGTCCGGTTTTTAAAACAATTTTCACTGGGAAACTTAAACTGGACAATTTGACCTGGTCAGTTAAAGGGCTATAATTTTAGCTCCACAAATTCAATTTTTACCTAGAGACCTTGTAGCTGTATGCCGCCCCCCCCCCCCACCCCAACTACTGGGTGACACGCCAATCAAGTCGTCAGCCGGAGGTAATTTGGGCCCCCCTCTGGGCCCCCGCTTGTCCATGAAAAAATTGCTTTAGTAGGGGTGGGGGGGGGGGGGAAGGGCGCACGGACGTCCTGGAAGCCAAACACGGAATGGGCGGGACACGCCCCTCTCTTCAGACGCCGAGTGCAAGACGGTTATCACGTGACTGTCGACTTAGTTACAGTAGATGGAGGGGGGGGGGGCGTGTCAGACTAGATAATGGGTCAAATGTACTGGGGTTATCGTACATGGGTCAAATGTTGGTGGGTTATCGTACATGGGTCAAGGGATACCGTTTAGAGATGTTGTTCTTTGGTCAGTCAATGTATGGTGTTTGACTAGTGGTGTGGTGTGGCAGTGGTTTGGTGTGGCAGTGGTGTGGCAGTGGTGTAGTGTGGTGTAGTGTGGTGTGGCAGTGGTGTGGTATGGCAGTGGTGTGGTGTGGTTTGGTGTGGTAACTAGTGTGGCAGTGGTGTGGTATGGCGGTGGTGTGGTGTGGTTTGGTGTGTTAAATAGTGTGGCAGTGGTGTGGTGTGGCAGTGGTGTGGTGTTGTGTGGTGTGGTGTGGCAGTGGTGTGGTGTGGCAGTGGTGTGGTGTAGTGTGGAGTGGTGTGGTGTGGTGTGGCAGTGGTGTGGTGTGGTGTGGCAGTGGTGTGGTGTTGTGTGGTGTGGTGTGGCAGTGGTGTGGTGTGGCAGTGGTGTGGTGTAGTGTGGAGTGGTGTGGTGTGGTGTTGTGTGGTGTGGCAGTGGTGTGGCAGTGGTGTGGCAGTGGTGTGGCAGTGGTGTGGTGTTGTGTGGTGTGGCAGTGGTGTGGTGTTGTGTGGTGTGGCAGTGGTGTGGTGTGGCAGTGGTGTGCCAGTGGTGTGGTGTGGCAGTGGTGTGGTGTTGTGTGGTGTGGTGTGGTGTGGCAGTGGTGTGGTGTGGCAGTGGTGTGGTGTGGCAGTGGTGTGGTGTTGTGTGGTGTGGTGTGGTGTGGCAGTGGTGTGGTGTGGCAGTGGTGTGGTGTTGTGTGGTGTGGTGTGGTGTGGCAGTGGTGTGGCAGTGGTGTGGTGTGGCAGTGGTGTGGTGTTGTGTGGTGTGGCAGTGGTGTGGCAGTGGTGTGGTGTGGTGTGGCAGTGGTGTGGTGTGGTGTGGCAGTGGTGTGGCAGTGGTGTGGCAGTGGTGTGGCAGTGGTGTGGCAGTGGTGTGGCAGTGGTGTGGTGTTGTGTGGTGTGGCAGTGGTGTGGTGTGGCAGTGGTGTGCCAGTGGTGTGGTGTGGCAGTGGTGTTGTGTGGTGTGGCAGTGGTGTGGCAGTGGTGTGGCAGTGGTGTGCCAGTGGTGTGGTGTGGCAGTGGTGTGGTGTTGTGTGGTGTGGCAGTGGTGTGGCAGTGGTGTGGCAGTGGTGTGGCAGTGGTGTGGCAGTGGTGTGGTGTTGTGTGGTGTGGCAGTGGTGTGGTGTGGCAGTGGTGTGCCAGTGGTGTGGTGTGGCAGTGGTGTGGTGTTGTGTGGTGTGGTGTGGCAGTGGTGTGGTGTGGCAGTGGTGTGGTGTGGCAGTGGTGTGGTGTTGTGTGGTGTGGTGTGGTGTGGCAGTGGTGTGGTGTGGCAGTGGTGTGGTGTTGTGTGGTGTGGCAGTGGTGTGGTGTTGTGTGGTGTGGTGTGGTGTGGCAGTGGTGTGGTGTGGCAGTGGTGTGGTGTGGCAGTGGTGTGGTGTTGTGTGGTGTGGTGTGGTGTGGCAGTGGTGTGGTGTGGCAGTGGTGTGGTGTTGTGTGGTGTGGCAGCAATATATTACATTTCTGGCCATTACCGTCTGCTACATGAGTGCCAGAGGAAACGAAGTCTGGAAATGTTTAAATATTTCTCTGGCATGAAGTATCTTGTCAGACTTGTCACATGAGTGTCACAGCTGTCACTCTGCCATTAGGAATGTGAGGCTCATCAATTATTAAGTGGCCAGTGAAAGGTGTTGGGTCTCAGCTCACTACTTGGTGGCACTCGCGACACCACATCATAGGTGGCCCCACACAGGTGGTCCCAAACAGGTGGTCCCACACAGGTAGCCCTCACATCATTGTTGGCCCCAGATCATGGCTGGTCAAATGGCCAGACATAGCTGGCCACTTTTTCGCTGGCCCCAAACAGCTGACCAGTCGTTTTATTTATAGTTCTATATATAGTTATTATATCCGTTATATTTATAGTTCTATATATAGTTATTATATCCGTTTTATTTATAGTTCTATATACAGTAATTATATCCGTTTTATTTATAGTTCTATATATAGTTATTATATCCGTTTTATTTATAGTTCTATATATAGCTATTATATCCGTTTTATTTATAGTTCTATATATAGTTATTATATCCGTTTTATTTATAGTTCTATATACAGTTATTATATCCGTTTTATTTATAGTTCTATATACAGTTATTATATCCGTTTTATTTATAGTTCTATATACAGTTATTATATCCGTTTTATTTATAGTTCTATATACAGTTATTATATCCGTTTTATATATAGTTCTATATACAGTTATTATATCCGTTTTATTTATATTTCTATATATAGTTATTATATCCGTTTTATTTATAGTTCTATATATAGTTATTATATCCGTTTTATTTATAGTTCTATATATAGTTATTATATCCGTTTTATTTATAGTTCTATATACAGTTATTATATCCGTTTTATTTATAGTTCTATACACAGTTATTATATCCGTTTTATTTATAGTTCTATATACAGTTATTATATCCGTTTTATTTATAGTTCTATATATAGTTATTATATCCGTTTTATTTATAGTTCTATATATAGTTATTATATCCGTTTTATTTATAGTTCTATATATAGTTATTACATCCGTTTTATTTATAGTTCTATATACAGTTATTATATCCGTTTTATTTATAGTTCTATATACAGTTATTATATCCGTTTTATTTATATTTCTATATATAGTTATTATATCCGTTCTATTTATAGTTCTATATATAGTTATTATATCCGTTTTATTTATAGTTCTATATACAGTTATTATATCCGTTATATTTATTGTTCTATATACAGTTATTATATCCGTTATATTTATAGTTCTATATATAGTTATTATATCTGTTATATTTATAGTTCTATATACAGTTATTATATCCGTTATATTTGCTCTGAAGTCTAGGTTTGATCAAGGTGTCAAGCTGTTGTTTGCTGATGTCTATGGTATTGTGTCCTGTTGTCCTCCATATTGTCCTACTGTTGTCCTCCATATTGTCCTACTGTTGTCCTCCATATTGTCCTACTGTTGTCCTCCATTTTGTCCTACTGTTGTCCTCCATTTTGTCCTACTGTTGTCCTCCATATTGTCCTACTGTTGTCCTCCATATTGTCCTACTGTTGTCCTCCATATTGTCCTACTGTTGTCCTCCATATTGTCCTACTGTTGTCCTCCATATTGTCCTACTGTTGTCCTCCATATTGTCCTACTGTTGTCCTCCATTTTGTCCTACTGTTGTCCTCCATTTTGTCCTACTGTTGTCCTCCATATTGTCCTACTGTTGTCCTCCATATTGTCCTACTGTTGTCCTCCATATTGTCCTACTGTTGTCCTCCATATTGTCCTACTGTTGTCCTCCATATTGTCCTACTGTTGGCCACCATATTGTTCTACTGTTGGCCACCATATTGTCCTACTGTTGTCCACCATATTGTCCTACTGTTGTCCTCCATATTGTCCTACTGTTGTCCACCATATTGTCCTACTGTTGTCCTCCATATTGTCCTACTGTTGTCCTCCATATTGTCCTACTGTTGTCCACCATATTGTCCTACTGTTGTCCTCCATATTGTCCTACTGTTGGCCACCATGTCCACCATCAGGTTGGATTTCGCGATGCGGGTCGAGAAATTAATTGCCGGCAATTAATTACCGGCCAGGTGTGAGATCTTGAGGCGCTGGTGAATTAATTAATTAATTAATTAATTCACGTGATCTACATTTACATACATACACATACAACCATTGCTAGTGGTGTATGGCAGTATGTATTCAATGTATGTGTATG